ATTTTAAAGATTTAAAGCAGTACTCTGTTGAGAGAGAGGGAAGAGGAGTGGATTGTGGACAGAAAACAGTTCCTTTTGAGCTACGTTAAATTTCATTTGCCATTTGGACACCCAAGAATAAATGTCAGCTGGTATGATTTTTGGAATTCTGAGAGCTCAGTACTATGAGTAGTCAGTATAGGTCTTTGTAGCTGTTGGATTAATGAGATCTAGGAAGAGAGTGTCCAGAAGAGAAGCTGAGAGTGACCCCCCAGATACTCCCAAAATTTAGGGTTTAGTACAAAAGAAATGTGCGAAGAAAACTAGGGAGACAAAATGGCAAAATTGGTGTCCTGGAAAGCTAAGTTGCAAGAGTTTATTTCAGAAGGAAATAGGCAGTTTTGTCAAATGCTATTGAGAGTCAAATAAGTTAACAAATTAGGGTGGTGTAACTGCTATAATAAATAGACCCCAAGATGTCTGATGGTTCAAACACAATGCTTACCCCCACCCCTCATTTAATAGAAGAGTGGTAATGAAGAGGCCAGTAGTATGGCCATCCACAGTTAAATTATTTAGGGATACATGGATTAAGGTTCTACCAACTTCACAAGATCACACTGGAGTCATCTCTGTTATAGCTAGCTAAAAGGGAAAAGAAATGTGGAGGATCATCTTGATGTTTATGGACCAGGACTGGGAATGGTGCACATCTCCTATTCCTTTGGCTTGAATTCAGTCACATGGCCACCCCTAACTGCAATGGAGTTTGCACAAAATACACAAGCCATACATACAGAGAAAAGAAACCAGCTTGTTTTGAGTAGCTAGTAATCTCTGTCACAGAAGCTTTGGCAGGATGTAGGTCATAGTGACTTTTGAGAAGAACTAGTTCAATGAAGTGATAAGGATGAAAGCCCAATAGAGAACTGGAGATTAGAAATGAACACACTTTTTTTCCTGTAGTTTTGCTATGAAGATGAACAGAGGAATCTGGTAGAGTCTAGAGAGAGATAGGTTTTATAAGAGGCATGTTACCGGTGCAAACAACGTATGCTATTTTTAACATTTGAGGAATGGCTTTTCCAGGTTCACAATGTGATACAGTATAGATGTATTTGGTGACTGACATCAAAATACAGTGTATGTTGGAAAAATAAATGGTATATTGTACTTCAGGTCCCCAAATTCTGGTTGTCTTAATTACTTTAAAATATAGTAATGATGTCACTGAATCAACTTCTATGCAGAGAACAGAATTCCCTTTTCTATGGCAAGTGTCCTTCCATCAAAGAACCAGAACTTCAAAATGAATCCATTCATTTCCTTAATAGAATGGTGGAATGTATTTATAGCTGCATGCTCCATATAATATGCAGAAAATAACCTTACTTTTTATTGTCTGAAAATTTTACACTCTTGGTGACTCAAGTGAAGTGATGCCAAAAAATCCATGGCCTATCAGTATCTGATGTAAAGGAGTGATGTGAAGTAAGAGGAGTTGTTTTTTTTTCCCCCCATAAAACTGACCTTTGGGGATGTCAAATACATAGAGAATGATTGTTGTCAAGATTCATTTAACAGAGACGATTGCTAATGCGAGGAGGAGAATCAGGCTCCTCTAAGGGAAAATATGTAAATTTGTTGAAAAAAGATTTCTGGGGAGACTATACATTTCTTATATACCTGTATTCTATTTTTTTTTTAATTGAGATAGAGTTCACATACATAAAATTCACCCTTTTAAAGTGTATAATGCAGTGGGTTTTAGTATATTTATATATTTACAAGATTGTGTAATCATTATCACAGTCTTAATTCCAGAACATTTTCATCACCCTAAAAATAAACCCCATACCTGTTAGTAGTCACTTCGAATTCCCACCTCCCACTCAGTCCCTGGTAACCATTAATCTACTTTTTGTTTTTATGGAATTGCCAGTGCTGGATACTTTGTATAAATGGAATCATGTGGCATTTTATGTCTGGCTTTCAGTTAGCATAATGTTTTCAAGATTCATCCATGTCGCAGTGTCTGTCAATACTTCATTCCTTTTTATGGCTGAATAATATTCCATTGTATGGATATACCACATTCATACATTCATCAGTTGATGGACATTTCAGTTTTACTTTTTGGCTATTATGAATATCAGTGCTGCTATGAACATTCTTGTATAAGTTTTTGTGTGACCATAAGTTTTCATTTTTCTTCTGTGTATACCTAGGCGTGGAATTCCTGGGTCATGTAATCCTTAGCCTCTTTTAACCTTTATTTCCTTACCATCTCTCAAGCTCTCTTGTTGCCAATCTCATGTTGCCCTCATGCTGTTTTCTTTAGATTTTTAGAGCATCTTCACTTTCCTTAGTGATTAAAATGTCCCTTTCAACTTCTTCCCCTATTGCCCCACTTAGGTAGGTCATGTTACAATTTTTCATGACAAGTTCATGACTTTTCATACCATTACTTCAAATTTCTTTGAACTCAATTCCAATGACATTTTTCACTAAACAGTTATTCAAAGGAACAGCCAAACCTTACACTCTTTAGAACTGATCATCTTGTGCCATTTCCAAGATATTAAATTCTTTGACAGTAATTTTTTGTATTTCACTCCCATTAGACTTATTCTTCATGCCTATGATGACCTCTACACCCTCAGTGCCTCTATATTTTCAGTTTATTAATTAACTTCTGTCCTAATTTGTCTTCTATCTAACTGGAACCTATGGCAAGTCATTTTAATGGTGCTTTCCTCCTCATCCTTGATTTCTTAACTCCTTTATTTAATCTCCTTGCACCACCAGTTCTCCAAGAGGTAGCTTACATACTATCTCTTTTCTTCTTTCTTGTCCCTGGGGGTGCCAAGTCCTATCAGAGTTCATTGGTTTCACTGTAAATTCATGGTAACTTAAGTGGGCACATTTAACTATTTGAATTCCTTTCATATCAAAATAACTTCTATCATAACTACCGATTTCAGGGAATTTCTGCTCTCAAATCCTTAAGACTTAATCTAACTCTTATCTTTGCAAAAATGAAGTTCTTTTACTGAGAAGATCTAGGCCAGCTAATTTGTCTGCCCAACAGTTTTCTCAGTTTTTTCCTTTTCGTTAAACTTCTTCAAGACAAAGTTCTTTTCATACTTTATTACTTTCTCTTTACTACCTGTCCTTGGTTTTTCATTATTCTTTCTTCTTACCTCTTTAAAACCTCTCTCCATTCTTTTTTTCCTGCAAAGATCCCCCAGTTTATAAAGAAAAACTCAATCCTGCATCTACATAATGCTACCTTCTCTTCAGCAGACTTGCAGATGGTGTGTAATTCTCGAACACCTTGTCACCTTTACTGTTGGCTTTCAAACTCAATTCTTCTTGAAATTGTTTTCTCAAGTGTTACCTATTCACTAAATCCAGTATTTTTAGTCTTTATCCTTTTGGTTTTCTCTGTGGAATATAAACGAGTTATTTAAGCTTCAGAGCCTCCTGCTTAGAGGGGACTTTAAAATGTTTATGTTGTTGAATATTTTTGTAAAGTTGCAAAAACAATATTTTTGCTTTGTTGTCAAGCTTCAGGCCTGGATTTGCCACTCTATAAAAGGGGATCTGCCCCTCATAAAAGAAGTTCATCACATTCTGTTTTAGCCTATAGAGGTAACAAAATTGGGCATAGCTTCTTCCAACTTTGCCACAGCTAAGGATAGAGCTAAATTGCTGTATTAACACTTATACCTTGGATTAACCAAAGAATTATATTCTCCCATACCCAGGTCCCAGGTCTGGTCCTCAATATTACAGGTTCAGGAACTAGATTGTAAGCAGTTTGACCAAGGTGATCAAGCACTGGAAGATTAATACATGTTAACCAAATACACAAAATATAAACCAGAATGTTTATTTCTTAGTATACAAGAAGGAGTTACTACCTTAATTTTGACTATGGGTATAAAATATCTGCTATCCAGGACACACTCTTAACTGGATTAAGGTATTATGGAGACCAAATATTATAAAACATTTAGTTTTCATGATTGATCATGAAAACAGTGCTAAAGGCCTTCTCACTGCTGGTGTATGGCCTAAACCTCTAATTCCTTGAAAAGAGGAAAACCCTGTTTCTTGTGTGATTTCAGCACGTGCATGATTCTGACCTACCAGCCTTGCCTAGTCATTGATTGAGGTGGTCTGTGCAGATCTCACCTTCCAACTGCACCCTATTTGGCTGCCATAGGCTAGCATTGCGCATCTCTTCTCGTTTCCCGACCGTCCCAGCCCTTTTTCTATTTCATTCATGTCCTCTCTTACCTCTCTGTTATCTCCAAAGTATTTCCCTCTCTTTCATTGCCCAAGCTGACCTCACGGTTCGTCCTAACGTCAGTTCTGCCGTCACCTACTTTCACCTTGCCTCGTCTACTAATGATCACCTCCTAGACTGACACCCTCGTCCCCTACCTAGCCCAGACTGGTCCCACCGCCTAGACCGAACCTTACCAGGCCCAGCGGGGAAAGTATGAGGAACGCTTCGTCGCGCTCTTTCTTTGCATGGTCTCTTTCATTTTCTCTCAATCCTACAAAACCAATACTTTTACCCTCCCCGTGAGCCCCAGAACCGCCTCATGGCGGCGACAGGTCTGCCAGCTAAGGCAGAAGGTGTCTCCTTACTTGAGAATGTAGGTGTGTTGGGATGCCAGCGTCCGCGCGTCAGTGAATAACCTGGGCCGAGCCCCAGGTGAAGGGGAAGGGTGGCTGGCGCTAAGCCAATCACAGCTCCTGACGACAGGGCCCAGCCAATCAGAGTACGGGGTGCTTGGCGCAGTGAGGACCCGCCCCCTTGCAGCTCGGTGGCCAACGCCTTCGCCCAGGGCCAGCTGGAGCAGAGCAGGTTCGCAGAGTGAAGGGTTCTGGGCACCTTGCGAGCAGGTTGGCAGTGCCCTCCCGCCCCAGCTAATTTCTGTACAAGCCTTGTCCTTAACAGGTGTTGGTGCCTGCCGCGGACGCATTCTGACCCGGGGCGTATTTCTCTCTAGAGACTCTGTGTCTATGGTTGGGGACAGAGTGAGGCCGTTGCCTTGACGACGACAGCATGCGGCCCGCGGTCCTTCTGAGAGTGAGCTTGCGGTGGGCCGAGGCCAATCTGCCTCTTTGCCTGCTTCACCTGGGACCTGTGTCCGTGTCCGCAGAAGGAATCAACAGCACTGAAATTGCTAGTTTGTTAGTCAGCATGTTTTAGACCTGCGAGCGAGATGAATTTCACCTCAAATTTGTTTCCAAGTTGAAAACCTTTGGGTCTTTCCACGTGAAAGGATTTTAAAGAAACAGTAAGTATAATTCTTTTAAATGCTTCTATTATCTTGCTCTTTTGTCTATAATAGATTTCATTCTATCAGAATAAAAAATGGCATTTTTATTATCAAAATTGTTGGTATTAGAACCATATGCTTACATGGCATGTCTAGAAATACCACATTGCCAATTGGCCAGGCATCGTTTGTATTACCCTTACATTTAGGATTAGAAAGCATCAAAAGTTAGTTTATGAGTAACTGTTTCAGGAAACAAGAGGCTTTTTAGGCTGTGATACTTTTAAGGTATTTATAGACAGTGCCACTTGAAAAAGCAGGTGTGTTCAATGCACTGTGACCAAATGTACAGTTGGCTGCAAGAATAAATTTGCAGTAGTCAACTTGCATAATGTTAGCTTTTGATGTGCTTCAGGACATCTTAGACATGTTTAAGGTAATTTTAATTTTGTTCACTTTACATTTTCAAATATCGAGGACACCAACTGCAAAATGTTTTTAAATGATCCAGGTAACAGATTCCAGCTATTTTTGCCCTCGACATGATAAACCTAAAATCTAGTCCTTGATAAAACATGCTGTGTTCATGGAAGGAAAAACAGTTAAGGAAAGGAGAGATAGAATTACACTGAGAACTTTTTTTCAAGCACAGGCATTTTATTTAGAAATAGTTAACAGACATTAAATGAGAGTTAAAATGTCAAATGCATGGAAAGTTGGTGTTGGGGACACCACTGTGTAAACAGTTTATGGTAAAACCCACTATCAAAGCTGGTAGTAAAATAATGAAATAATTGGAGTTAGTGTTGGCTAGGATTTATTTTTTCACCCCCCTCTTCCCTATGTCAGATGAGTCTTCTGATTTTCCATGTTTATCTGTAATAAAACCCTAAATTATTATATGTAAACTGCCGAAAGTATACATCAGATTTTCATAGTTAGCTAGGACAAAGAGAACATTTGCTTTGTCTCTGTCATCAGTGTAAGTAAAACATCGCATTTCACAATCTGAGTAAATTAGTTTTAGATTGCTATAAGTACACAAAACAATATTTTTTCTCTTCAAGTTTTATAAATGAGTGTTTTTATAATGTCAGGTTAAAAAAACTTAACTATGAGTCATCATTTGAATATCTAGTTACCTAAGGATTTTTTTTCCTCCCAAAGCTTTTAGAACCAATTAAGAGCATGATTCTTTAAATATTTTGCTTCTAGAATTTAATTTCAAAATCAGATTTTAAAAATAAATTTAACTTTGAAGTTATAATTTATTAGATTTTATATTTCATGGCAATCAAAACTTATGAATTAAAATCTATCTGTTTTTGGACTGAAAAGTTTTATTCTGTACCAAAATATGTAATGGAATGATTGCTGGACCTTCATCAATCATTATTGAAGTAAGAAATATTTATTAGGATTGCCTTTTCCAGAAAATGTCATATAATGGCATGTAAAAGAATTGTAAACACAAAATTCAAATGATCATTCTTATACTGAGTAATCATTAAAAGGATTTTTGAAATACTGTATTTGGTACTACTAGTATTTAATTTAAAAATCTGCATATATACTGTGATGTCATTGCTGTTATTTCGTAAGTTCGATTTATAGGAATTTGATTATTATAGCAAGAAAAGTAAAGGAAAATAGTTTAGCAAAGGTTCTTAGTGTTAACTTGGTAAGTGACCATTTTGTGAACAGATATTTTTCCCATTTGAGTAGAAAGTGCATAAAGATTTTCAACTTTGATCTTTTAAACCTGATGTAAAAAAAATTTGATCTTCACTAAAAGGAATTGTGTTTTTCTAAAATGAGCTGTGATTGTTTTGTATGATAATTCAAGTATTGCTTTATCTGAATTAAAATATATTGAATTTCATTAACATGGCATTTAGTAAATTAAATTTAAAGTTAGTGGCTTCAATTACATTTGCACTATTTTTTAATGTATATGAATATTTTGAAGCCATAGCTTAGAATCGAAAACAATAAGAAATTGTGAGTCAGCACAGTACAGCCATCGACACAGTGACTACTCTAATATGGAAAATAAGTGCGGAAGAATTAATTTGCTGGGAGGGAGGAGGAAATTAATATACTCAACATTATTAACTTTATATTTTGGTTTCTATAGCAAGAAAAATTCCTACTGATTTTGAATTAAAATGGAAAAATATGAGAATCTAGGATTGGTTGGAGAAGGGAGCTATGGAATGGTGATGAAGTGTAGGAATAAAGATAGTGGAAGAATTGTAGCCATCAAGAAGTTCTTAGAAAGTGATGATGACAAAATGGTTAAAAAAATTGCTATGCGAGAAATCAAGTTACTAAAGGTGAGTAAAGACATATATTTTGTTAAAAAAAAAGTTATTTCTTGATCACAATTACATTTTTAGGGGAAAATGCTGTTTTTATATTTGTTTTATTTCCACAACAAAGTTTAAAGTATAAATTTTTTCTTTTTTAGAAGTAAATAAAATGATTACATATGCATATTCTTTCATGCATATTCATTTTTTTCATGAATTTAAACATGACTTTTAAAGTATTTGTTGCTTCTCTATATACTGTCTGCCTGTCTGTCTATCTACCTAGCCATGTAGCTATCTACCTATCTATCTGGCTAGCATTCGTATTGGAGGTTCCAAAAACCATCCTTGGGTTTGATGATTCACTAGGAGGACTCGTAGCACTCAGCAATAGTTGTATACATGGCTATGACTTATTACAATGAAAGAATATAAAATTAGCAAAGGTAAAAGGCACATGAGGTGAATTCCAGAGGAAAACTGTCACAAGTTTCCAAGAATTCTCTTCAGTGGAGTTGCACAGGATGCACTTACTTCACGTGAAATACTGTCTACCAAGGAAATTCATTAGAGACTCAATGCCATGGTTTTTATTGGGGGTGGCCACACAGGAACCCTCTGCCTGGCCCATACCAAAATTCCAGATTCCCAGAAGGAAGGCAGATATTAGGCATAAACAATGTGGTTTGCACAGTGAGCCATTTTATTAATTCTGGAAACGAAGTGAAATCCAAGTTCCCAGGTACTAGCGAAGGGCTCACTTTGCAAGCATATCTTTCTAAGGATAGCAGTATCAGGCCTGCTATGGTACATCTTCCCTCTTCCTTCTTCCCTCTCCTGTCTTACCAGAAGTTTATCAATTTTATTTATCTTTAGAAAGAACTAATGTGTGGCTTTGTCGATCTTTTCTATTCTGTATTTTTCTTCTATTTCTTTAATTTTTGTTCGTTAGTATTTCATTCCTTCTACTTATTTTGAGTGGGTTTATTTTGCAGATCTTTTTCCTAACCTATTGAGATAGATGCTTACATCTTTAGTTTTAGGCTTTGCCCCCTCATATATGCATTTAAGGCTAGAAATTTTCTTCTAAGAATGGTTTGGTATCTATCCCAGAAATTTTGATTAGCAGTTCAAAATATTTTTCTCATTTCCCTCAATTTCCAAACATGTGGTAATTTTCTAGATTTCCTTCTTCTGTTTATTTACTTTTGACACAATTGCCTTATGACCTGGGTATATACAATGTAAGATTTTATTTCTTTGGAATTTCTTGATACTTGGTTATTGGTTCAGAATGTAGTAAACAAACAAATGAAAATTCTTCATGTACTTGAAAAGTATTCCATTAAGCCAGCTTTGTTAATTGTATTGATTAAATCTTCTGAAGTCTCATAGGTTTTTTTTTTTTTTTGTATGCTTGTTCTATCCAGTACTGAGAAGAACTATGTTAAAATATTCCTCCATGGTTATTGATTTGCCTACTTTCATTGTAATTCAGTTAAGGTTTAACTTTATAAACAGAAAGGCTATATTATTAGTATATAATGCTTAGAATTATTATATCATCAGGTTGAATCAAATCTTTTATCATTATAATATAACTCTTTCTATTATAGTAATGTTTTATCTTAAAGTCTGTTTTCTCTAAAACCAGTAAGGCCACGCTAGTTTAATTTTGATTAGTGCTTGAATTAGTATATCTTTTTCCATCTTTTTCCTTTCAGTTTTTCTCAATCTTTGTTTAGATGTGTCTCTTGTGAACACATAGTTATATTTTGCTTTTTATCTTGTTTGACAATCTTTGCCTTTTAATTGGAACATTTAGTCTATTTACATGTCATATAGTTTCTGATATATTTTGGTATAAATCTACCATCTTAATATGTGCTGTTTGTCTTACTGGGTCTTTTAAATTATTTCTTTGGATTATTACATTTATTTTTTTATTTCTCTCTAATAATTTGAAAATTATACATTGTGTTTCTATCTTTTTGTGTTGACCCTAGACATTTGTTAAAGTCTAACAATATCCAATATTTTTATCCTTCTTACAACACTTATTTCTGGTTATTCCCTTTTATCTTCTGCTAATATCACCATATATTAACCCTTACATATGTTTAGACAATACAAGACATAATTATTGTTCAGTGTTCATTTAGGTTTACATTTATCTTTCTTTGTTCTTTTCTGCATCTCAGACTATTTATTTGTGATCTCTTTGAAGTACATTATTTAGGATTTGCTTTTGTGAGGATCTATGTTAGATAAAACATTTCAATTTTAGTTGCATGGAAATGTATTTTGCTGTCATTTCTGAAGGATATTTTTGCTGTGTATGGAATTTTAGGTTGGCAATTATTTTCTTTCAATAAAATGAAAATAACATTGTTTTGTCCTCTGGCTTTCATTGTGGCTCTTGAGAAGTCAGCTGTCAGCCAATTGTGGCTCTTGAGAAGTCAGCTGTCAGCCAATTGCTGCTTTAGAAGTTTGTTCTTTTATGTCTGGATCTCATTTTTTCCTTTCAACTTTTTATTGACATATAATATACATCTAGAAATGTGTATATATCATAAGAATATCACTATGTAACTGCCATCTAAATCAAGAAAGAGAACAGTAAAAAAAAAAACCAGAAACCCCATCCCCCACCACGACCACCCATGCCTTCTCCAGCTACTACTGCCTTCCTCCTTTACTCAGGTCACAAATATCCTGATTGCAATCAGCATAAGTTAGTTTTGTTTTCTGGAACCTTGTTCCCATTATATCAAAGAAGGTTTGGGTTGTTTTGTTTTTTGGTTTTTCCTTTTCAGGGTTTGTTACCAACTTTGGAGAGCTCCGCTCTGCCAGCTTTGTGGCCACAGATGATCTCTTGGTATCTTCCTATACTCCTGTTTGACCTTGACTACATTGGATAGTTTTACCTCATTTGTTGTGAGTAGGGGGTCATAGGTCCTACTTAGTTTCATCAAAGATGGAGCTACTTTTTTTCCTCCCATTGGCTTTATTGTGTTCTCTGAGTGGGGAACAGAGCAGTATGGTTTTTATCTATAATTTAAAAGCCAGAATATACTTTTATAATTTATACCATTTCTGCATTTTATTTATATATTTTTCTTGTGCTAAGATATATTTTAGATTGTTATTAATTGCTAATCATTTGCTCCTGTAAAAACTAATTTTGCATTTTTTATAACAGCAACTGAGGCACGAAAATTTGGTGAATCTGTTGGAAGTGTGTAAGAAAAAAAAACGATGGTACCTAGTCTTTGAGTTTGTTGACCATACAATTCTTGATGACTTGGAACTCTTTCCAAATGGACTAGACTACCAACTAGTTCAAAAGTATTTATTTCAGATTATTAATGGAATAGGATTTTGTCACAGTCACAATGTAAGTATTTAGTTTTAATAATTATTTTGATTAACTCTCCAGATATCAGTCATTTAATTTAATGACATACTTGTATAAAGTTTGGACTAATAAAGTCATAGAAATAAACTATGTTACTTTGATATTGCCAGTTTTCATGTGCCATAATACATGTATTCTTTCCCCCAACATTTTACTATGAAAAATTTAGGCCATACTT